TTTTTTTTTTTTTTTTTTTTTAAATGACATAATATTAAACAGTGAGAAACAAATGTATGAGCAATGCGTGTAAAAAAAGATTCATGCGAGAGTTATATGTAATATTAGTCTGTATACAGTTAATAATAATTTAGTAGAAGTTATATTGAATATTTACGAACATTTTCATTTAGATTGCATTTAATCATTTACATATTTTTTACTGTAAAGTAACAAAAAAAAATTGATATAAAATGGTTAAAATTTTTTTTTTTTTATAACAAATTTTTAGATACTTTATGTTTAATAAATACTTGTAAAAATGTTAGAAAATTACTTTTATTAACCGACTATCATAGTTAAATTTACTGTAAACAAATGTATATATATCTTTGGTATAGTAAATCTGTTAAATTTCATATTATGTAAGATATCTAAAAATATTTAGCGCAAAATTAGACTGATTTATAAACAAAAACCATATATCTGTACAACAATAAAACATTTCTCTTGATTAGTTTGGTTTTTTTCAGTCAAATTATGCGCTAGATTTTTATATAATTAATTCATAAAAAAATATTGAAACTTTTATATAATATTATTCATTTGTACAATATATAGGTATGAATAATTTATTAGATTTTTATATTCATAAAAAACAAAAAGAAAATAAAATAGTAAATTCATTATAACTTTTCAGTTAGACATTATATAAATGACATAAATGACATAATTTATATAAAATGGAATAATATAGAGCCATCTGCTAATTATGACATTTCTATTTGTACTTTATTAAATTTTATTAAAAAATATATTCAATTTAATACACTTTCACCATTTTTAGATGTGAACATTAAATAAATTTTTTTACTTAATTCTGGACCAACTTTACGTATAGCAGTAAGAGGTCCAGCTGCTCTTCTAATCTGTAAAATGTTAAAAATATTTATGACATATAAGAAATAATGACATATAGAAATAATTTGAAAAATAATATTAAATTTTAATAATTTTTTAATTTATCATATAGATTAATTTATTTTTGAAAATTTATTTTAGTCGGATTATTGTAATAAAAATTTTTTATTTACCGGGATATCTTTCAATAAATTTATTCCTTCATCATCTGTACAGTTTATATAAGTCTAAAAAATAAAAAGAGATAAAGTTAAAAAAAAAATTATATTATGTTTCTTATATGTTAATATTTACTTCTATTAAATCTGCAGGACATGGATACACAGAACAAATTGCTTCTGCAATTTCAAGACTACTCAAATTAAATTGACAAAGTTGTTGTTGCCATAATCTTTTTAATCCATTTCCATCTTTATCTACTTTTACAGTATTTCTATTGTCTCCTAATATGTACCAATTAAATTTGTTTGTTAAACTTTTATTTTTTTCTAATTTATATGGTATTTCTGCTATAGCTTTTGTACATTGATATATCATTAATGCTAAATCTTGAGAATTATTAATTAATCTACTGCTACAATCTGCAATAATTTGTATTTCATTGAGACATATTTCAAGTTGTCTTCTTGATATTTCTACAAAGTTTTTATATTCAAGATTATTTTTAATATTAGTTTTTTGCATTTTGTTTTTTGTTTCATTTTTATCTGAATTTTTTTCTTGCATTTTATATGCAAAATAATTTTCTATTCCAAAAATTACTAATATTATTTTGTAATCTGGTAATAAAGATTTGATATCAGAAATAGATGTACAAAAGTTATCATTTGCAACTTTTATTACTGTTTCATCCCAATTCCAAATTATTAATATTTGATCAATATTTTCAATATTTGTTATAGTACATATTTCATTATTTTCATTAACATAATGATTTTCAATATTCCTTTTCCATGTAATACTATTTGAAATGAATTGTGATTTAATGCTATATTGCAAATTAGTATTTAATAATGTACTTATTATATCTGTAATATAAGAAAAATTTTCAATACCTTTATCAATAATAACTTCCATAAATTTCAAACATTCACCAGGTTTTATATTTTTTGATTTTTTAATTGCAATTGCTTTTAATGCTTTTTCTTTCATCATTTGTTGAATTTTTTCTTCTTTTTTTACAATATCTTTTTTTTGTTTTGCAATGTTTCTGTTTTTTTCATCTGAATTTTTAGCAGAATTAAATGAATTGTTGTCACTATATAAAGACTTTCCAATCATATTATATTGTTTTAAATTTTTATTAACAGTATATTTATCATTGGTTTGATATGATGGTGCATGAATATTAGAAATAAATGAATGTTTATTATAAATATTTTGTAATTCATCTTCATTATTTTCAGTAATGGGATGATAGAATTGTACTTCAGGAAATTCAAAATCACTTGAATCATAGTCATCGAATGAACATTTCTTTTTATTTTTCTTTTTAGTATTTTTTAATTTATCATTCGATTCAACAGATATATCAGATTCATTTGAATCATTTAAAACGATAATTTCTGGATTCATTTTATTGAAGTATTTAAAACTATTATAATTTTTACGATTTACGATTTACGATTTAATGTACACTTAAAAACTGAAATAAGATTCAAAAATATTTTATAAGTATAATATTTACAAAAACAATGAATATTTATAGTAAATATACAGTAAATGCAATAAAGATGAATGCATTTACCAAAAATGAAATAATTTAACAACATATAATAATAATATTTTGAAATTTTGAAATAAACATTTTTTGATTGATTATTTTTGTACATATATATATATATATTGTTCTACATAAACATCATTTTAACCTCGGGCGTAGACCAATTGTGTCATATTATCATTACTTTCTAAGAAGAGGAAATGATGACGTCATGAATGAAAATTAGATGACAAATAGATGACATATCATGAATGATATGGGATTAAAATATTAGTACAAATGTTAATTGAAATTTGATTTTCAATGTAATCGATTTTTAAAGAACTATTTTATAACATTTTATTAACATTTTGGAATTGTCGATTTTTCATGAAGGTAAAAAATTATTCTTTCATACGAGATTTTTACAAGCTAATTTAGATAAAAATTATGTAAATCTGGCAACAGTGTTAAGATTTTTAATTTCTCAATATATAGATTTGACAATTTTGTCATTATAATCTCCCATGATTTTATTAAATATATAATTTATATAATTTGAATTATAATAAGAAATATTAAATAATGACATAGTAAAATATCATTTGATATTTTTTTTTATTTTTAGTATTACATAAAAATAATAAATTCTGTCAAAATTTTGAAATATTTATTTTATATAAATAATTATAATAAAAAATAATTATATAACTATTACATGATTTTTTACATAAGATTTTATAAATATTATAATAATATAAATCTTTATTATA